AATTTTTTTTTACCACATAGTAGGACTTATAAATTATAACGAATAATCTTTTGTTAAAATTTTAATCATTAATTCTATTTGGTTTAACAATATTATCATACAGAGTACCTTCCGAGTAAAAATTACTTAAAAATCTCACAAAATTAAAATGTCTATAAATAGCTCAAAAATGGATAAAATGTTTTCTATATTTTATTACGCCTAGAAAAGACAAATATCAATTGTCTATTCAAATTTCAAGTCTGGGGATTTTTTTAATTGAATCATAACAAAAAATAATACATTTCGTAAGTTTTCTCGTTTTTCTTACGTTATTCCCAGTTTTTCCCAATTATTATGAAAACCTTTTGGAAAATTAAAAACTGGTCTCGCTATAGTACCCAGTTAACCTTTCAGAAAAATTGATACACTTGAAAGTCAGAGCAAAATGTATAGTAGAAAAGTAGTTCACATGAAAAATATAATAAAAAAAATGTAAAACCAATACATTCTTCGTTTCGCTTAAAATCTAAAAAAAAAAAAAAAAAAACATTTTTCATTAATTCCTTCATGTTCAATTTAGGTCAATTGTTTAATTGTCTAAGTTAACAATATTATATGGATAAATTTCTGTGTGAAATAAACATATTGACACTATACATACAGATAATAAATGATAATTTTAATACTTACTGAATCAGGACTTGTAAACGTTATTGTTATAATAATCGTAGAAATTTGAGATTTTTACAGAATACTTAAATTTTCATTTCTAGGCGTGGTAAAATTTTAATATATTCTGCTGAATTTTGGGCTATTTGATTTTTTTTTTGCAATTATATGGATTTATTATTTTTTTTTTTTAAGTCGGAAATCTTTATTACATGTCCCTCTCCCTACAAATGTTTAAAATTCAAATTTGTAAGAAAAAAAAAATGAAATTCGTTTTCAATCATTACAGTTCGCGTTACTTGTCATATTATGTCTACTACTCATTATATTAATTGTAAAATATACAATGTTTTATACTAAACTACCAATGCAAGGGGGTATACCCACACTTTAAATTAGGTGTGGCAGCCGCTTGACTTAATATATAAGTTTTGCCGCTGCAGAGCCACTGCCCATATTGTATTATTTCCTAGCACTGGTCATAATCTAAAAATCCTCCCAGCTGGTACCGGGTTTTATTGCTTAACTACCAATATAATAAGTAATAAGTATTGTATTACCTTTAATTATTAGCTTTAATTTGAAATTGTAATGTCCTCGTTATAACTGTTGTAATCTCGGGGTTCAAATAACAATATTACGCTATTATTGGTAGAAATGACACATTTTGCCTGACAAAATAGTTCTGATATTGAAAGTACGACATGATCACTGATCAGCATCAGTTGTTTTAGTTTTATTTTTTGGTAATTTGGTAATTTAAAATTACTGAGCTACAAAACTGATGTTATCCTAGTACTTTAATTAATAAGTTCTTGTTTTATAAACTTCTTGTCTCACTTTGTTTACGTTGTTTATTTTATTATTATTTGTTTAAACTTATCGTTTCCTACTACTTATGTTGGTACATATATTTTATGTGAACGAGTTTTATGCTGTAGGTATTTCATTTTAGACTCTGAGCGAAGAATGTATATTGGTTTTACAATGATGTTTATTTTTTTTTATCTGTGAACAACTTTTTTAGCAGAAATGTTGCTAATTTAAGCAAGTAATTTTTTGATTTTTCCAGGAGTTTTCATAATATATGGGAAAAAAGTATAGAAAAAACTGGAAAATGTATAACTGTTTATACTGTGTATTCTGATCATCCCATTATCTCACGACCTCATCACTTGATTAGCTAAGCTTTGTGATCATAGGCATATGTTTAAGTGACTTTCGGAGTTAACAAGCTAATG